AGGAGGAAGGGGCGGGAGAGGAACGAAAGGAAAGCACTAGATCGACAGACAATAACGCTAATGGCGGCATAGCAGCCTCTAAGGAAGCCGGGATGGCGGAAGACGAGGAAAGCGAGGAGGACAGTGAAGAAAGTAGCGAGGAGGAGGAGGATTTGCCAGTACGGAGACGGGAGGAGGTGGAGGATGAGGACAGCGAGGACGAGGAAGAAGAGGAGGAGGAAAATGAGGAAGAGGAGGCGTCGAATGCGTTTGCAGAGCTGCCCCAGGCCACGAAAGGCTTACGGGCTTGCCGAAAATGCAGGTTAATCAAGGAATTTACGCAGTTCGTGGAAAGTGGATGCGACAACTGCATGCAGTTCGAAGACCAAGAGGAGGCAGCCGAGTTCACCTCCCCCCACTACACGGGCATGATGGCGTTGGTGCATCCGGAGGACTCGTGGTCGGCGAAATGGCAAGGGGCGCGGAGGTACCGACCTGGACTCTATGCCCTGCAGGTGGAGGGGGAGGAAGAATTCGACAGGGAGACAGAGGAGTAGCACAAGGGAAAGGATGGAACGAATCAGGAAAGGCCCCATGGAATGGCGTGAAAGTAAAGGATGTGAGCCGATTGTCCAGGCGATCGCGGAGTTGTATCGGCGTCATCTGAGTCCGAGCATGTTGTTATATGGAAGGGCAGCCGCATTAACAGTGCGCTCGGCCTTACCTCTTTCCTTGCGGACTCACCAATTTCTTTGTTTACAAAAGTCGTGCCATAATGCCCGTTCAGCATGCCAACTGCTCGATCACATTTCAAATATTTAAACCGAGCAAGGGTCATCTTTCTCACAAAAGATGACAGCTGCATTCCTACATCGACCCAGCCACTTTACCTTCTTCCTCCCTATCCACGCCTTCACCCTGACCTTCCCACCTCCTCTCCCCTACCCCTCGCTCTCCCAGTAGTAAGACATCCCGCATCGCCAACACGGCGTCGGTCAGACCTATCGCCTCCCCCTCCTTCCCTCCCGTCCCCCCCCCCGTTGGTCCCTCCCCGCCCATTACAAGCATCTCCCCCATCCTGTGACTCCAAGCCCTGCTCCACTCCGTCTTCTGCTCTCCCCTCTCCCCGGCTTGACTCCCGATCCCGTCGGGCATAAGAACTGAGCAGCGGCCTTTTTCGGTTCCCCCCCCCCAGGAGGTTGCGGCGTCTCCGCTCGCTCCACGCAAAACAGGCCAGTTCCCACCGCCAACACAGCAAGTGGACGATGGGGAAAATAATGAAAAAGGTGCCGACGAGGGCGGTTGCCGCCAAGAAGGGGTGAGTGTAATCCAAGGGAGTGTACACCACGTTACCTGCCGCTCGCCAGTACACCCCGTTGAAAACGACGTAGCACGCCATAAAGCCGCACGCAGGGAGGAAATGTTTGAGATGGTATGGGTATCGCGCAAGAGCCAGGTCCATCACCATGAGAAGGGCGTTGACCCCATGAAGATGCACAATAATGCCAGAAATGGGCGGAACGGGAAACGCCAACCAGTACATGAGGCACACCATAATCGACAAAGGTGTGGCAATGTCGTGAAGAAACCAAGTCGCCCGGTCCAAGAAGAATGCGCGAGGGATCAAGATGGCCAGAAATGCACCCCAGGCGTACCCACCCATCACTGCTGCCGTCCAGTTAGTCACGTAGACACACCACCAGCTTGTAGGCGGACCGTCCCCGCCCAAGGCGGAATAGAGTACCCAAAATGACCAATACAAAAGGAAAACGAGGCGATACGTCAACGCGATGTGGTATAAGCTGAGGCCATATTTACCAGAGGCGACGGGGAATTTCAAATGAGTGACTGCGAAGTGCGACCGAGCAGGATAGCCCCATGGCTCAAGTTTCCATAGACGTTGTGGGAGGGAGCAGGACATATTTCGAGACGCTCGACTCAGTCAAGCGGCTTTTCGTCTGGCAACATGCAGAGGGAGACTGTTGTTTATGCGGAGAAAATGCTCGATTTGAAAATGATTGAAGTCAAAGACCAGGACACAGGATTGAGGTCCGTTCAGCTTCGACCGTAATACAAAGCTTCGGACAAGCACGATGACATGCAATACACAATAATGAGTGCGTCTATTCATACACAACAAGTTATCGCATGTTGCCATATAAATTCAATAAACTTTTCTTCACTCATCCTTACGCGATTAAAAATGCGCTTGATACCACATGTCGTGTCCTCTGCTTTACTTCAAACACCCTCCCTATCGCATTCACCGCCAGCGGGTAAAGCGGACGTCTTGGAACATACGCCTATTCCCTTCCTGTCATGCACATGACCAGAATATGCTCATACGTTGAGTATCTACATTAAAAAGCTGCATGATTTATTTGCAGGAATTTGGGGTATTGCTCCCCCGATGCTGCCTTTCGAGTGCAGTTGGAAGACACGACCTTTGAGCTATCTATTTTATCAAAATTAATGTAATCATACAAAAAACCAAACATGCATACATCACAACAATCAATCAACTTCGTTGTATATCTTGCTTTAACATATTAACATCACTAACCACATTCTGTTGCAGCCCAAAGACTTGCCGTAAATAATCAATTGGAAAGACGTCTTTCTATTTGACGTCATCCAACCACAAAGGCTCGGGTCTGAAAGTAAATATCTGAAATACACAGAGACAGGTACAAACGTAAGGCTTCTCAAACACATTTAAATCTGCTAGCTATCAGCTCTTCTGGCCTTTATGATAATCACCATTACCTCCATTAAGTCTTTATTTACAATAAATCATTCGAATTAATTCGCAAATAACCGTAACACTTATGACCTCACCTGACAACACCTTACCTCTACTTGTATTCTTAATGCAGGACTATAAGTCGCCGAGGGCGGGTCAAAACGTGTCCATTCCTACCCACCGCCATGACCCTGAAAGGTACATGTCCTTACATCATTAAATTGATATCACTGCTTTCCTCCTCTGTCTTCGGAAGTAAGATATTTAGCCATCCTCAACACAGGCTGATCGCACTGGCATTCAAGGCATATTTCATTGTAAAACGAATGAAATGCATCGTCTGCGCGTATGTTGAGCAACAATTCACGAAAACGTGCACCTGCTGGCAAATTGTAGAACCACGCTGCGACAGGAGGAATCTTCATCGCTGCCACCCGGGGCATCTCGCCCTTTTCCAAAGCTGTCAAGGTGTCTGAGTAAAAATGTGTCGCGTGTGCGGCCACAAATCGTGCAATTGAAAGGGCAAGTGGTGGATAAACCAGGCAAACAAGAAAGTACACGGGCATGATCATGGCTTGGATGACTATCAGCAAAACCCGGGTGAAAATGGAGGGTTTCAACGCCTGCAGAAATGACAGCAAATGGATGCGATGGCTTTGATATTCTCCAAGCATTGGTTGGACCATTTGCAGCTCATCATGGTTAGTCAGGATGCTTCGTAGGTGGCACACATAAGCCATTGTTAAGCCGTGGATCCAATGGACACTTTCGAGAAGTAAGGCTCGACGTAGAAAGATTGTCTCCCGGGGTCGCTCGACAAAGGCGCTCAAATTTAATTCTGGCGTGTCCAGCACCCACAAAGGACGAAGAAGCGCCACAAGAAAAGAGCTGACTGCAATTATCTTCGTTACGAAATATCCTCCAATATCGTAGAGAGCATCCACAGTTTGTGGATGGTCCTTGATTGACGATAAATAATTCGAGGGGTAGTGGCCTTTTCTGGCATTCGTCGGGTAATCGAATTCTTTGAGAGGGAGTAGGTTGGTATCGAAAGCTGGGTGTGGCTTAAAGCCCGTGGCTTTAGGCATGGCGATGCTTGTTGTTAGAATCTTAAGACGAAGCCTCCTCCTAATGTGTGTGTTTATTTGGGTATTAAAGACTGCAAAAGGAGAATGATTGCCGCAAATAGTCGGGCAACATTTTCGAATTGAGATCAAGCAAAGATGGGTTGAGGTTTGAGGAATATCTGCATTCATGAATGACACGAATAGAAATTATACACAAAATGTGACCAACGTCGATGGATTCAAATGTTCTACTAATGGCACGTTTGTTGGTTCTTTGGGAACGTGACGATGTCTCGTTGGGTTATGGAACGTGCCTAGCTAGCGCCACCAAAAAGGCGTGAATGCGGGTCGTGATGCAGGTGCGGCCATAGAGACCACACTACTAGTTATTCAAAGTCTCAAAATTTATTTATTTATGATTATTACGAAAATTTATTTATGCGTTTCCAATGGTGTTAATAAAACCTTGCAAGGAGGCGATGGTAAGGTGTGTCGAGGTAGGAATTTACCCGGCAAAAAATACACCGCACACATCTTATACACTGCCAGTGAAATCGCAAAAAACACTGCTCATAAGACACACGCATCAAAAAAAGTGCAACACAATGTATGCGTCCATGACAAGTACCCTCAGAATCATTTATCTTTGCAAAAACACAAATCCGGCGGTCACCGGAGGGGCGAAGGGGGGGGGGGGTTGAAATATCACACATGATATGACGAGGTTCGACACACCTTTTCTCATTTTCATGGAGAGGCTCAAATCTGAAGGAGCACACCCCGCCGGGTGGGCGGGACGCCTACAGTAGAAGTTTCTATCAGTGGAATTGTCGGTGAAAAGATGATACGAGTCGTTGTGTGGTGCGAATATTTTGCCGGTGGACATGGCGGGATATGGTTCCAGAACTTGTTCTTATGCAAGGAAGCAGATGTCGTCATAATGTGGGCCGCGTGCATGGCAGCATAACCCGCATGCCTGCCGGCTACGCGCGCACATGAAGCGTTTGAAATCTAACGTAGCCTTCCAGTGTGTAACCTTTATGACCTGTTCATGAAGAGACGTGCAGCGACCTAACTGTTTTTCACGCGGGCACACACCTCGTGTGCCCCTAGTTCAACATGTAGCGAGTTGCTGCCCGTATCGATGTCTTGTTCTACACTAGGTACTCTTCCCAATCTAACACCATCCACTCAATGCGTTGATATTTCTTCGACAGTCACAAAGAAAAAGCGGCCAAGATTCATCATGGGTGGCTTTCGCCTTCACATGTTGGCTATGGCTGTGATGATTGCCGGGGCTGTGTTGAGTGATGCTGCAAAAGAGGCCAGCCGCGGTGATGCCCAAGGTATCCACCCCCACCTTCGGTAAGTAGACATGTGTCAGTTATACTGCAATAGATGGCTGTATAAGTCCTTGTTATGAATCAGAGAGTTTTGGAAGCTGTCTCGTTCCTCCTTTGTGCTATGCCGCTTTGCATGAATCAAGTTCAACGCATTCATGTGTACATTGCCCTTCTTCCCGCAGGAAACGTGCCTTACTTCTGCCGCCTCGTGATGTGTACGCTATGACCCTTACAAACTCTTTGGCAGTGCCCGTTAACTCGACTTTCACCTTCAGCAAAGGTATCACCAACTGGCTCATGATCGAGAAAAAACACCTCCAACCGGGAATGTCATTTACTTCCGGTCCGTTCGAATACAAGGAGGGCAATGCCACCTTTCAGTATATCCTCCGCACGGTCAAGGCCAAGTACTGGCCGGCTGGCGCGAACTACTCGGGCCAGGAGGCACTCTGGCTCGATTCACCTTTTTCTGGTGTCACGGGCATAACACCCCTACTGGAAGCAGAACTTACACCCAAGGGAGACGACAGCACGCGGCAGCATATGGGCGCCCTCGTTCTCAAAATACCCACGGCCGCATAGAAGCATGACGATGACTTTGAAAAAAGATAGGAAGCACGAGTGGTTGATGTGCACGTGTGGACTGTCTGTTTACCAAGGTTAGCGATGTAGGTGCCGGGGGAAAGAATTGATGAAAGCCTGTGCAAACCCAAAAACGAGGCGACACGTCGCCTCGATGTTAGCAAGAACGAGAGTAATGATCGGGGGAAGCAAGCTTAGCTTCCGATAGCCGAGACGAAGCGTTGTGGAATATCAGTGCAGTAACTATACCCAGCTGTAATCGATGACGTAAAATGGCGGGGAGTCACAGATATCTTAGAAGGGTTTTTGTTACTCGTGTTACTGTAGAATGTACAATCTGCCTCCCTTTTGCGGTGCATTGGATTTCAAAGTAAAGTCTGTATTACAGGAATAAGTAAATTTGCTGGAATTTAAAGGCTTCCCGCGTACACATTAGGGCAATAATGCGAATCAGAGAATGGTGACGTAGTCATGGAGGCCGGGGCTCCTTACTTTCTTCATGAAACAGGTAGCTTTACATCATATCCTCGTCGACACGAGCCGTCGTCCACATTCAGTCACCCTTGCTCACCCCGGACATAAAGTTTACGTATCAACATAATAAGTATGGCTTTTTCTCCCTGTTTTGTCTGAACCCTCTGTGACCAAATTTCCGGGGCCATAAGAATAAGTCTCTCATCGCATTATCCGGTGCTGGCCTACAAAACCTCTGCAGACCAACGCTGATACCTTCGTACAGGTTATACAAAATACACCTCCATGTCCATCACAGCCGGCGATGCGTCCTCTCCCAACCCCCCCCCTTT